TTCTATGTTTGGCTGAACTTTTTTTGAACCTTCTATGTTTTGCTGAACTTCTTTTTAGCCCTTCTATGTTTGGCTGAACTTTTTTTTGAACCTTCTATGTTTTGCTGAACCTTTTTTTAACCCTTCTATGTTTGGCTGAACAATTTTTTGAAGAGGCGAGGTTTGGGCTATGTTTGGACAACACAAAGTTGAACTTTTTGGCGAGACTTTGATGAACTTTAACATCCTCCTGTCTTATAAGGGTTCGGCCGTCTTAATCTTGAAGGCGCCATGACAAGCGTCCGGAACATTGGCAACCAACCAACGTTGCAACTCTGGCCGATGCGTCAAGCTCATGAGGGATCGATACCAGACTGACAAGACCGAGATTGGTCGCAAATCGTCAGCACGCGGTCGGCCATGCACCCACAGTAGCCCAACGGGCTGCAAGGCGCAAGAACACAGCGAGAGCCGGACGCGGAATGGAGGCAAGCTCACAACCGCACCAACCGTCACAACCACCCGCCGAACCCGACGAAGCCTGAGCGATCTTGTAGAACTCGTCCACGCACGGCAACCAAGACGCATCCTCAGCACCGGGGAAAGAAGCACGCCAATGGCCCGCGACCTTATCCGCAGCCAACTCGTCTAAACGAGGAACCGAAGTATCGCGGAGCCAAAATTTTCGCCAAAAGCAAATCAAGTTCTGAAAGCTGTCTTCAACCGTCTCAGGTGAGGTACCATCCGCATTCAATACCTCGGAGCAACCCTGCGACGACAACCCTGCAACCAACGGGACGCTGCCTTTTCCTGAGCGCACATGACATGGAGGCACGCCACTGCCGAAGTCGCAACAACTTGGAATCAGCTTGACTTTTCAGCCTCCGACCAACCGTTCCAAGGAAGATGGCGGGGCCAATGTCGACGAGCCCTGCAGCACACTTGCCGCACTTAAAAAACTGCCTATTTGCTTCGCGAATCCGGCCCCACAACTTGCGAACGGCGCGTTCCCTGAAGGCGCCATGCTTGAAGCCACAGAGGCGCGCATCTCCGGACCGAACAACAAAAGGCAGACTTCCCTTGGCACGCACGCCCACAGGTTCAGGAGCGGCCAAGGGCCCTCAAAAACATGCTTTCCAAGCGCTCGTTAAACCAAGTCCATTCCTCATCCTGGCTGACCGCCTGGCTGGACGGCTCCCGCAGGAGCTCCTCTTGACAGGAGCTCCTCTTGACAGGAGCCTTAGCAAAGCACGAACCTTCACGCAGACGGCCCAACACGCGAAAAGTGACAGCCCTATGGTCTCCATAGACCTCTTCGAAAAACGCCGCATCAGCAGAGGCGCGCAAAGCATTTGACAACAATGATGGCTCTGTGGCCGTTCCAACGAGTAGGCGCGTAAGCTAGAGATGAATCCGACTTTTCCTGTACCGCCAACACATGAAAACACCCGTCACCAAGCCAGGGATTCTCTTCTGGCGTCATGTCCCAGTCGCCGATCATGGCAAGCTGAACACCCAGACGAGAAGCTTCTGTCGTTGTTGGTGGTGGCGGCGGTGATCCGTGTCCGTGTCCGCGTCGGCGTCCGCATCCGCGTCGGCGTCGGCGTCGGCATGTTTGTGGCTGTGGTTGTGATTGTGGTTGTTGTTGTGGTGGTGGTGTTGTTTTTCTGTGTCTTCTTTTTTTCTTCCCCTTCTTCTTGCACTATCTATTTACTGGTGTACTGATTGCCATCCTATACTGTCCTCTGAACAACATGTCATTGGGGGAGCATATGGGATGGACGATTGTTGACTTTTTTGCCTGCACGAGAAGACTTTCCAGGACAATGCAGAATGCAAGGAAACTCGAGATCGACTGCTCCATGTGCCTGAGGCGAGCCTTGATGCTCTTCGAACTCGGAAGCAGTTAGTTTTACTGGGTGACTTCAACAGCCTTGCCCAACGTCCGCCACACGTGGATATTGATGACAAACCAACCCAGTGACCTGAGCACCCTGATAGTCCCAGTGACCTGAGCACCCTGATAGTCGCACCATGGCCTGCGAACTCTGAACACGATGCTTTTCGCGGCAGCAAGGGTCAAGGCTCCAGAATTGATTTCTTGTGCGCTCGACTGAGACAGACACGGTGATCATGAAGACAAACAATGGTCTCCCATTCCCACGCAGTTGTCCTCTTTTTGGAACTGACACGCAAGGTCATATCAATCCCCTTGCCGGGTTCAAATTCTCTGGCAGGTAAATGGCACTTAGTAACGTCAGTTATGCCCACAGGAATCGTGGCCGTGCCGAGAAAGCTGGAGGCACTCAAAGATGACAGGGCCACTCAAACAACCGAGGTTCTTCACAGGCCTCGTGGCCCGAAGATGGATGTTTTCACCAGACGCATTCTCGTTTGAAAAACCTCCTCCAGGGCGCTTTTTCTCTTGGGGCGGCGCGACTGATTCACACTGGACAGGTTGACAGTTTGGCTTCTCAGAAATAGGACCTGTTTTGGGCTATCAAAGCGGTGGTTGGCACAGACCTCAACTTCCTGTTTTGGGTGGCAGCTCATAACACAACATCGTCGGGCTCACCGCACGCAACAAGCTGCCTCTGCCTAGGCGAAATAGACTCGGATTCACCAGATTTTGACTGAGGCTCGACAGGCAGCAGATACGCATGATTTGATAGTAGTAGTAGTAGTAGCAGTAGCAGTAGTAGTAGCAGTAGCAGTAGTAGTCGTCGTCGTAGTGGTAGTGGTAGTGGTAGTGGTAGTGGTAGTGGTAGTGGTAGT